AGTTCCCAAACCCTTTCAATAAACCCAAGCCAGCAGTTCCCAAAACACTCGAATAAACCCAAGGCAGGAGATCCCAAACTCCTCTAATAAATCCATGGCATGAGATCCCAAACTCCTCTAATAAATCCATGGCATGAGATCCCAAACCCTTTCAATAAACCCATGGCAGGTGATCCTAAACCCTCCCAATAAACCCATGCCAGGAGTTCCCAAAACTCTCTAATAAACCCAAGGCAGGAAAACCCAAATCCCTCTAACAAACCCATGGCACAGGATGCCTAATCCATGACAGGAGACCCCAAATCCCTCTAATAAACCCACGGCAGGGAATGCAAAACCCTCTAATAAATCCGTGACAGGAGTTCCCAAAACCCTCTAACAAACCCATGCCAGGGGACTCCAAACCCCTATAACACACCCATTCCAGGAGCCCCGCGAGCCCAGCAGCCTCCCCCGGGCCGGCGAACCCCTGCCCCTCAGGGCCCCCCACTCACCGTGCCCGGCCCGGCCCTACGGCCATGGGCCCGCGGCCGCCGCCATATTTGTTGTGTGGCGCAGCGCAAAGCACGCCGGGACCGGCGGCCCGCGGGGAGGGCGGCGGGGCGCGGGGCATGCCGGGAGCTGTAGTTCCACCGGCGTGAGGGCAGGGGGAGTCGTGGCCATCTGTGGGACCACCATCCCTGGAAGGGTTCCAGGACACACTCGTTGAGGGCTTGGAGCAAGCTGGGATAGTGGAAGGTGTCCCTGTCTCTGTTCCAAGGGTTGGAACGGGATGAGCTTTAAGGTCCCTTCCAACACAAACCATCCTTGCATTCTACAAACACCAGCTCCCTCTTTCAAACTTGTTTTCTGTCGTGGATTTGTCACAGGGATTTGAGACATCCTGCCGTGGTTTTATTGGAAAGGTTTTGGGATCTCCTGGCACGGATTTATTAGAGAGGTTTGCGGCTCTCTTTTCATAGGTTTATTTGAGGGGTTTGGTGGTCTCTTTCTGAATTTGTTAGAAGGGTTTGGGGTTCTATTTTCATGGATATACTTGGTGGGTTTGGGATCTCCTGCCATGAGTTTAATAAAGGATTATGGGATCTCCAAACATGGATTTGTTAAAGGATTTTGGGGATCACCTTTCATGGGTTCATTAGAGGGGCTTGGGGATCTATTGTCATGAGTTTATTAAAGGGATTTGAGATCTCTTTTCATAAATTTATTATAGCAGTTTTGGCATCTCTGACTGGATTTATTAGAGGGATTGGACATCTCCTGACATGGATTTATTAGAGGGCCTTGGGGATCTCTTTTCATGGATTTAGAAGAGGTAGTTTGGGATCTCCCGTCATGGATTTACTCCAGCCTCGGCCGGTGTGCTGTAGCTACCCTAATAATTCCCTCCTGAGCATTCCCTACTCATTCCTGAGCCTGGGATGGCCCAGCCTGCACCTGACAGAATCATCCACCTTGGAAAACACCTCCAGGATCACCCAGTCCCAGCCTCACACCAGCACTGCCATCGTCACCCCTAAACCACGTCCCCAGGTGCCACATCCAGGCTCCTCCTGGACACTTCCAGAGATGGCAACTCCACCGCCTCCCTGGACAAATTATTCCAATGCTTAACCATTCTTCCAGTGACTGTTTTTTTCCCTAATATCTGTAACTGCGGGCTGTGGTCACAGGGAATACGTTCTCCGGCCAGCTCATTCCCTGAAACTGGTGGACAGTCCCGAGAGAGGCTGCCCCCGGATCTCTGCGGAGACCTTCCCGGGTGGGGCTGCGTACAGGAGCTCGCAGCTCCCTGCGGAAGACGGCTGTGGCGCGGGTGACACAGCTGCAACCCAGTACGAGGGACCGAGGCTAAGGAATCGAGAGGAATCACTTGTCTGAGCTCCAAGGTAGGTTTATTTCCCCAGAGGAGTCAGGGACAAGTGACAATAACCGAGGGCAAAAAACTACTTTTAAGAAAGGGAGGGAATAAGGAGAGGACACAACCTTTTACCAACAGGAAGGCATTAGGGAAGGAGTACAGGATAAGGGCTATCCAATAGAAGCCAACAGGGGGAAGGAGCAAACCTTGCAATCCAATCTTGCTTCGAGGAATGGATGAAGGACAGGGAATGTTCCAGAACAAAAAGGGTGTGCTGTCTTTGATAGACAGGGGGTTTGACATACACTTGGTGGGAAAATCTTGGGGTAAACAACTCAGGACTGAATCATCAGGGAAGCCAAATGGGGAGCATGGAATGAACCATTACAAACTTATCACAAGGAATATTTAAAACGTACTACAGAAGAACAAACCGTAAAACAACAGACTACCACAAATACCCACTCTGATCCTCTCCTGGCACAACTTGAGGCCCTGCAGTTGATTGTGGTGCATTGACCGTGGTATGAAAACCTTTGAAGTCCCAACCTGCCCTGAATCTTCCCTAATCATTTATTCCTTTCTGTGACCTTGGTGCAAAGTTTTGATGACCCGAAATGGGAGGAGAGTCAAAAGGGCAGAGGTGGGGCACAGCTACAAAAGCTGGCAAAGCACTCCTGGTCTCTCTAGTGCCGGGCTTCCACTCTGCACAGCCCACACCATGCTGGTGGCACTGCTTCTGCCCTTCCTGTGCCTCCTGAGCCCGGCTGCTGCTGGGAGGCTGCTGGTGATCCCCATGGATGGCAGCCACTGGCTCAGCATGAAAAAAGTGCTGATCGAGCTGAGCAAGAGAGGGCACGAAATCGTGGTCATCACACCGGATAACACATGCCATGGTTTTTCATAAATTTATTATAGCAGTTTTGGCATCTCTGACTGGATTTATTAGAGGGATTGGACATCTCCTGACATGGATTTATTAGAGGGCCTTGGGGATCTCTTTTCATGGATTTAGAAGAGGTAGTTTGGGATCTCCCGTCATGGATTTACTCCAGCCTCGGCCGGTGTGCTGTAGCTACCCTAATAATTCCCTCCTGAGCATTCCCTACTCATTCCTGAGCCTGGGATGGCCCAGCCTGCACCTGACAGAATCATCCACCTTGGAAAACACCTCCAGGATCACCCAGTCCCAGCCTCACACCAGCACTGCCATCGTCACCCCTAAACCACGTCCCCAGGTGCCACATCCAGGCTCCTCCTGGACACTTCCAGAGGTGGCAACTCCACCGCCTCCCTGGACAAATTATTCCAATGCTTAACCATTATTCCAGTGACTGTTTTTTCCTAATACCCACTCTGAACCTCCCCTGGCAGAACTTGAGGCCATTTCCTCTCATTCTTTCCCTGGGGACACAGCAAGACAGCGTGATCCCACCCCAGCTCCTGCCAGGGAGACGCAGAGCACGACAAGGTCCCCCCTGAGCCTCCTTTTCTCCATAAACACCCCCAGTTCCCTCAGCTCAGGAGAGTTTTTAACCCCTTCCCCAGCTCTGTTACCCCTCCCTGGACAGGGCTGCCCCCAGATTTGTGCCTTTTCACCCAAATCCAGCCTTCCCACTGTCCCTTTGCTCAGGTGTGAGCAGGGAGCGGCTTTGATCTCGTACTGCCTTGAACCCAGCAAATTCCAGAATTCCTGGATGGGATAACCTGGGATAACCTGGCCAACTGAGGCAGCCTCTAACAAGTTCACAAACACTGAGGTACTGATTAACTTCAGCTATCCTGGGACTGCCTGTGCACCTACTCCTCACGTTAAAGGTTTGGATGGAAAATTCATCCTGCAGCAGGAGGGAGGGGAGGGCAGGACATTTCCCTGCCAGCCCTCTCCTTGTCCCACTTCAGCAAACAGCTGGGGTGCCATCACAAAATACAGAAATTAAGTTTTTGGGTAAGAAAATGCTGTTTGCTAAACTGGTCAGCTTCCCAATGCCCAGTTCCAAGTGCGCTTTATAAAAATCTGAACCTATTTAGTACTTGTTACTATGATGTTTTTTCCTTACAGTTTATAATAGAAGATTCAGAGAGTGTTTTAGTTTCTTTTACCTCAAAGCTTCTCCCCCCTACTCTGACACTCAAAAATTTAGTTTTCTGGAAAGCCATCCTGACACAAAACTGCTCTCTGCCACCTTCCCAATAGAAGTAATTAAAGACATTGGTAAAACAAGGAAAAATAAATAAATAAATAAATAAGGCTGATGTGAGGAAAACAAGATGCAGTTCTAACACCACGTAACTGGCACCATACTTGGGAGAGGAGAGAACTTGTGTGCCTGAGGGATGGAGGCTGCACAGCTCCAAATATCCTGGGGTGAAATATTTCTAATTTTGCCATCAGTGGCAGTGCTGTGGGGCTGGGGAGATCACTTCTGTGCTGAACCTGCTCCTTTGCTGAGTCAGGTCTGAAACCTGAGCCTCCAGTGGTTGCAAAAACTCATTTAGTGCTGGTCTGAATCTGGTGGGGAGGAGTTTTCAGCTACCCAGGGCCCACCCCCAGGCTGGGAAACAACTCTGTAAAGTGACAGCTTGGGCTATACAGAGAGAGAGGTCAGCCCCTCTCTGCACCTCTTTGTGGTGTCCCTGGCACTGAGGAGATTCCTGCCAGCTCAGGAGAGCCCTGAGCCTTGTCCTGAGCGTCTCCTGCTCCATCCCTGGAGGAATCACCTGAGGATCTGTGTCTCCAAATCAGAGAAGTTGTTTTCATTGTATTGCTGTGGGCTTGGGAGCTGCTCACACCAAGGCTGCCCCCCCCCACCCCCCCCCAGGTCCTGGCCAAGGTGGAACACAAGACACAACAAAGATGAGGAGTACTGAGGGATCCAAGTAGCACGGTGAGGAGCTACTGGGGCATCGAGGAACTCCAGTGACTCAGCATTGAATAGGTCACCAAATCTTGGCTTTCCAAGTAAGGAGGGAAAAGGCAAAATAAACTACCCACAGTCCCAAGCAGTGAATCATTAACAACAGGATTATCAAAGAGCAGAGCGCAAGAAATCCACCCATCAGTTGCTTTCCAAAGCATTGTCAGGCTACAACCTGCAGGAGAAATCTCTTCCACGGCCCCTACTCCGACCACAGTAACATGGCTGTGAGGCTTTGCTGTGCCTGGATTTCCATCCTCCTCCTCCTGCCCAGCCTCTCGGATGGAGGGAAGCTCCTGGTGGTGCCCATGGTGGGAAGCCACTGGCTGAGCATGCAGGAAGCGGTGGAGAAGCTGAGCGAGAGGGGACACGAGGTGGTGGTGCTGGTTCCCGAGGTGAGCTGGCAGATGGAGACCACGCAGGCCTACAAGGTGGTCACGCACCCGGTGAGCCAGACCCTGGAAGAGCTGGATAACGCCTTCCAGGAATACGTCACTGTGCACCTGACGCAGAAGCCTTTCCCCCTCAATGCCCTGGCAATGTATAACGCCTCAGTGCATGTCTTCAGCACCTTCTTTGGGCAGTGCAAGGACCTGTTCCGCAGCCAGGAGATCCTGAAGTTCCTCAACGAGAGCAGATTTGATGCCGTCCTGACGGATCCTCTCTTCATGTGTGGGCCCATCCTCGCCCACCATCTCTCTCTTCCCTTTGTGTTCTTCATGAGGGGATTTGGTTGCAACCTCCATTTTGCAGCCCCACAGTGCCCAAGCCCTCTGTCCTACATCCCAAGAGTCTTCAGCTTCAACTCAGACCACATGACTTTTTTCCAGAGGGTGGAAAACGCCCTGATTTCTCTCCTGGAGCTTGATTACTGCAACGGTTTCTATGCAGAAGCGCTTCAGCTTTCCTCAGAAGTTCTTCAGAGGGATGTGTCCCTGATGGACCTCGTGAACTCCGCTGCCATTTGGATCCTGAGGTTTGACTTTGTGTTCGAGTACGTCAGGCCAGTGATGCCCAACATGGTCTTTGTCGGGGGGATCAACTGTGCTAAGAAGAAACCACTGCCTAAGGTAATGTTCCTTTGCCTAAAATTGTACATTTCACAATGAAAAGTCATTATGTTGTTTCAGGAAGTTTATCAGTATTGTTTATTATTTTTTAAATTTTTCTGGTAATGATATAATCCAACGAGTTTGGGTAGTTGTTTCCATAGGCTGAAATCAAATAACCTTGACAGAGACTTCTTTGAATTAATGAGGGTTTTGTTACAAACCAAACAAAGAAGGGATTCCATCTGCCAGATGGAAATTACTGCCCTCAGTGAATGTGTCTCAACCACCAACCTGATCCAGTTTTGATTTCATTTTAATGGCATCTGACATCTATTTCTTGTATCTCATCAAAAACCCAAGAGTCATCTTTTGTTTTTAACTCCAGGCTCAATAGCATCAGTTGATTCACTTCAGTTGTATTTTCATGGCAAGTTATTTCCAAACTGTCTGTCTGTGATAGGTTACTCCTGTTTGTGGGGCTGAAATATCAATGTCGCGTTGAGATGGCAAGAAATAATCTTACAGTCGTGGATTTGGTGAAGGACACTCAGACAGAGAACTCAGATATCTAATTCTCATACCTTGACATCTGCTTTTACCAGAATTGTTCTGCAGGGTCTTAAAGCTAATCTAGAAATCTAAATCTATTTTGATAGCCAACATGTAATCTCTAAAATGGTAACACCGCACGTTTCTTTCCAGGCACAAAGCAGGACACAAATCTCTTTCCTAGGTAATTGCTCCCTCGCTTCTGAATTGTGGTCATGCAGTATCTCTGCACAATGTCTTTGAGCTGGAGGGGTGGGATTTTTCTTTCCTTTTTCAGATTTTTTTAATGCTCTCTGACAGGCTGATGGAGAGACCTCTAAACTTGATAAACAAGGCAAAGAATAATATTATCAACGAGAATATTAGGATAAAGTTATATCTAAGGCGTTCTGTCTCGTTAGGCTGACAAGAGGGACACCAGCTTGAGATTTAAGAGGCAAATTCTTGCTGGTTCCACAATACAAGTCTTTACTTTTATATCCTGAAGGTCTCAGAGCTGCAAAGAGTTTGTAACTTTGCTACAAGGGTAGAGACATCCTGCCCTCATTTTATCCCTGCTAGCGCCTGTCTTCACACTCCAGTTAGGTGAAAATCACAAGTTCCACACCTGGAAAAATCTTCTGTAATTATCCTTTCTTCAGTCTCTTTTCTAGCTCCATTTTCTGCAGACTGCAGAGGAATTTCTCCTGTTTCACTTTGAACAGTGCCCAGCAGTGAGTGTAAACAAGAGTAAAGTGAGTCACAGGGAGTGATGGAATCTGCCTGTTCACACACACCTGTAAAGCCCTGGGTTGGTCATTACTGTTCAGAAACATAATCCCATGGGAAGAATAAATAGTTCCCCAAAGCCTATTGAACCCATTGCTCAACAGGTAAGAAAAGAAAAAGGATTATTGGGAGAGGGAGAGAGAGAAGAGATTCAAGTTGCAGATTCTTCCAGGGATCCACAAGCCATTTTGTTACACCACTCCCATAGTTTGCCACCGGCAGAGGAATGGGGCACAGTGGTCTCATTCCAGGTAAGAGCTCCTCTCTGCTGGATCTGATGTGGTCCCATGGAGGAGCTGCTGTGAGCTGAAGGAGCTCAGGCTTGTGCAGAACGGCCCTACTTACCTTATCCAGCTGGGAATCCAATCCTCAATTGTATGAGGATCATCACAGAGGTTGTGGGAGAACATGAGACCACAGGGCTGGGCCTGGGGGAGCACAAACTGCATTTACACCTGGACTAAGCTGCCTCAGGCTGATTTCCTCTTGGCCTGCACTTTGCATGGGGATGTGTCTCAGCAGCAGTTACACCTTCATGAACAGGCAGAGAAATCCCAAGTTTCCAACTCCTCAAGTGTCTGGAAATTTAACACAAGGCTTGCAGGAATCAGAGCCAATATCGTGGCTCTAAGAAGTACCTGAAGGCTGGCGTGGTGACATTGCAAACCAACTCAAACTGTGTGCTCTGGGACACTCTGGTGACAATCTCCTCTTTAGCCAAAGTTAATGCAAAGCTGCATTTTTGGTCTGCTCAGAAAACCAAAAGTACGGTGATTTGATTAAACCAAATCACAGGAATTTAAGTTACAGCCACCTCTCAAAGTTCTCCCTGTTTTTTTCTTACCTAAACCTCCCAGTACTTATTTGAACAACTGGTCAACTGAAAACATTAAATTAACTGCAGGTTTAAGTAGGTAGCTACTCAAGTAAAGACAAAGTGTGACTGAATAAACACCTTTTCCTCACCAGCACAGGGCTTAAGAGCACAGATCCTGCTTTAAAACCCTCTCCATCTTCCCAAGGTTTCTATTCATGGCTTAGGAAACAGCAGCCCTGGAAATGATCTGTGTTCTATGATTTGCTTCTTGCTCTCACAAAAATTTCTATTCCTTTCCAACTCATACAATTGGTTTTATGGGTTGGTTTTCCTCTAAAGCTAGTGTGTCTCCACAGTGTAAAAAAAAAAAACCTGAGGGGGAATCAGTCAGGTTCCAGTCAGCAGCCACCAACCTGCATTTCCCAGATGCTGCTTAGCACCAAAACCAGGGTCTGGGTTCAGTTACACAAGGACTCCTCCATGGATAAGCCTGATCCACCATCCAGGAACCAGGGAAATCAAATTGCATAGAATCACAGGCTGGTTTGGGTTGGAATGAATTTTAAAGCTCTTCTCATTCCACCCCCTGCCATGGGCAGGCACACCTTCCACTATCCCAGGGTGCTCCAAGCCCTGTCCAGCCTGGCCTTGGACACTGCCAGGGATGCACAGCTTCTCTGGGCATCACCCCCACACTCTTGGGTTGAGCAACCTTTTCCTACTTGCAGGACCCAGGGCCTGAGTGGGTCAGCAATGTCACCTCAGAGCAGGGAAGCAAATCCAGTGGATGAAACCAACACTTCCAGGATGAAACCTACACTTTTACTATAGTTTTAGCGGTGCTGAGGTTTCTGTTTGCCGCTCTCTTTCCTTAGTGCCACTCAGAAAATCATCCACACATCACAGCCAGTCCCACTCACAGGTGAACAGTTTGAGAAAGTTTTAGTGCCTCTTGCAGCTGAAGCAATCATAGGGTGAGGGTCCCAAAGCCTGCAGAGCTGCTCCATCACTCCCTGCCAGCCACAAGAGACTCCCTGGAATAACCCACACAAGCTTCATCACTTCTGAGAGGAAAACAAACCTGCAGTCCTGGCTCACCCAAGCCTTGATGCCCTTTGCTCTTGCAGTGGGGAAGGCTTTCCTCCAGGCAGGCATCTGGCTCTCTCACATCTAGAATCCTCAGTTCCTCAGCTCCTCGTTTGCACATAAATCAGGAGCTGGAAACAAGCACCACACCCTTCAGAGGTCCAGGTGCTCTTTGCTACTCATCATGAAAAACAAACAAACTTATCTGTTGCTTATCTGAAAAATGAGCCTGCCTGTTAATTTTCTCAATAGTAATTACTCACCTCAAATCTGACCTCAGGTGATCCTGTGCTGATCTATGAACCTCATCCTTTCTTTCTTTGTCCTGCCTTTATCTCTAATTTCTCCTGCCCTTCCTCTTGCTGCCTCACTTTCCCCACAGTTTTTGCTCTGATGGTCTGGTACAAAAATTAGGGAGCCTGTGGAGTCCATAAGAAAGTGTGGCCATCCTGTCAGGAGACTTTTTCTGTTATGGTCAGGGGAAGTGAACTTGCACTGGCTGTTTTCAGACAACAGGTGTTGCCATTGAAAGTCCTATCGAGTCCAGACTAGAAAACACACCGAGCAGCAACTTCCAAGTTAATTTGGTCAGCTCTTGTCACAGTAGTTGCAATGAACTCTTTGCATCCAGATTTCCTGCCTTTAATGACAATTATTTGTGAATCCGTTCAGTGTCCTGCTTTCAGTCTGTGCCGTCTCCCACCTCTCCTGTGCTGGGCCTCTCCAGAAATTGGTTTTCCAGGTCTGAGGGTGGTTCCTCCAGGTCCCATGCAACAGAGTGGAGCTCCTCAGGGCAGTCCCAGCACCACCTTTGGGTGTCATGAGACAAATGCCTTTGCCTCAGGCTGTAAGGATTTGTTTCTCCCGACTGAGGATGCTGGGAGTCCCAGCACCATTTATAAAAAGAACGGGAAAACGTTGTGCTGGTGGTAGCTCTTCATATCACAAGGACTCCTTCCTCAGCACCATCCAAAAGGCTTTGCTCTGGCATTGCTTTTGCTTGCACAAAGACAAAACATTCCTGCAGTGGCATTAGTGGGAGGTGTCACACCTTCTCCTGGATTTTGTCTCGCTCACAATACGTGACAAGGGTTTTCAAGACAGCAACCAAAGACCAAAACGCCTTCTTTGTGTCCCTGTGCCGGCCTCCTTTCCCTTTGTTTGCCCTGAGCCCAGCCATTAGTTCACATTTCGCTGTAGTGCCAGGAGGAAAAAAGCCAATCGGGATTGTTCTCCTCAGATTTGGGATTGCCTGGTACATCCTGGTGGCCATGACATCTTTGTAAGAGGTGCAGGTTTGGCTGCTTCCAGGGGGTGAGAATTCCACATCAGCCTCGTGTCCTCAGGAACGGAGTTGCATCCATTCTGCTGGGTGTATTTTTATTATTTTATCGCAGTGTATTTACCAGGTCAATGGTTTTCACCGGGATTATTGTTGCAACATGACATCCCTGCTCTTGCTGTCACAGACTTAGTGCTGACAGTGTCCTAGTGCTGACAGACTTTGCAGCTTAAACGTTAACAGAAAGTACAAAAGTTTTTTCTAAGGACACGGCTTCCCTTCCCTTCCACAAACACAGGCAACATCACAGGCTAATCACAACCATATTGGGAAGTTAAATATTAATTTCTGTAGCCAATAAATCCCCTGCTTAGTCTGCATGGACCATTGTAGAAAGGACTGCGTGGATCCCTCCGGAGCAGAACCCTCTGGTTCACTCCCTCAGAAATGGCTCTTTTTTACCGAGGTACCTGGATACTTCTCCTCCTGACGCTGTCTTTGATCCTGGCTGAAGGT